TTTTTTTTTTGTATTAGTATGAAACATACATATCCACCTTAACAGCCTACCCAAACACGTTTCTAGGAGCAATGTTTGCCGAACATAATCGGCCTTTGTTACAAACAACACTTAACGAAAATGAATATTTTATTGATAGAAATGGCTACATATTTTATTACATTCTGGAATTCTATCGAACTGGTAAAATCCATTTTAGGGAGAACTTTTATCACCAACAATATAATTCCTCTGTTAGAAATCGATATGGATTCAATGGATTTGGAGGTGGAAGTAGAGGTATAATGGGTGAAAATAGAGATAATATTTCAAATCATCCAATTACTCATGAAGAACTTGAAGAAGAAATGAAATACTTTCAAATTCCCATTAATACCATTTGGTCTTCATTAACTCAACGTGCTATTATCACAAAAATTGATGCATTTGTTGATACACTTCGAGAGGTATTCTATCAAGTACTTGGAGAATTTGGATCATCAATCGAAATCAAGTTTCGAAGAAATAAATATCAACCTCAAGTGAAAATTAGAGAAATAGAAGATGACACAATGATATTTGGAATAATAACGAATATATTAAAACCCTACGGATCAGTAGGATATTTGATTTTGGATAAATTTGGAACAGAGATAGAACATCACATGAAACAAATTATACCAGAATTAAAATGGGAATTGATACATATTGATAATTATAATTGGTATTGTATCAAAATGTCAACAACAGAAGAAATTGATCATAAAGAAGTTTTAAAAAATTCTTGTCTCGGTCAAACATTTTTTAGGACCAATAATGGAGATGATGATGATGATGATGATGATGATGATGATATAGAAATTATTGAGACACAGACTCAATAATGTTAGAGCTTATTATTACTTCATATAGTTAAACATTACTTCATATTAGTTGAAGACATTTAAAATTTTTATAAGTTTATTTATAGTAATAATCATTTCAAAGAACGAGAAAAACCACCATTTCCTATTTAATAGTTTCATTATTATTAGAACCAGAATTAGATTGATTAGTGTGAGATTTTGAATTAAATAATATAAAATTATTTATATATTTAAAAATAAAAATTTAATTCCATATTTGTTTCATGTATTAGAGTTAAAAATTATAAAATTAATAATAATAATTAATTAAATCTATATAATAATATAAAATTAATAATAAAATAATAAATTATATTAATAAAAATAATCAATTAATAAAAGTTAATTTTATTAATACGAATTATTAAAAAGTAATTATATAATCAAGTTTTTAAATAAATTACACCTTTAAAAATGAATTAATGATGCTGTAGCTGTTAATACTTTATTTAGCATATCCTTCCTTCCAAAGCAACAATGTAATTTATTTTTAAATTAGATTCATATTTTGTTTCACATTTAACTTTTCTTTCAGCAGTTATTGGATATCAAATATTGGGTACATTTATTATAATTTGTTTTTTTTGAGTTAATTTTGATTATAATATGAATTATATATTTGTCCTTTTGATTTTATATTGAGCTTCAAAGACTTAAACTTTTTGAATAATCATATATAAAAATATGATTGGAGAAAAAACTTACTAATAAAAGAATATTTTTAAAATAAAAATAAATAAAATAATATATTTAAACAAATACTTTCTAAAATTTGATTTCTATATTTTGACCTTCTACACTTTCATCACCTACATCATGATTTTCTTGAACTTTTTACCATTAGAATATTACTTTTCTCTATACACAATCTGTGATATCTATCAAAGACCAACATAGGATCCCACCTTTTTGATATGTCTTAAAAATTTTCCTGGAATTGTAGAATCTTTCTTGGCTTCTTTACAATACTCACAACAAATCTTGGGTATAGCACTTTTTCACCTTATCTATATCATCAGCGTTAATTTTAGCAAAGATTAAATATGTGATTTGTCTTTACTATAGGTTATATCGTTCTTAAGTTTGTCCAATGGTTATATCGTTCTTAAGTTTGTCCAATGGTTATATCGTTCTTAAGGTTTGTCCAATCTATATCCAAACTTAACAGAATAGTGCTTCAATACATATGACCATAAAGCTTTCATCTCCTTTCTTTCAAATGCTTGTTCGAATGACATGGGAGCATTTTTAGATAAAACTTCCAAGTATTCTTTAATTTGTCAATATATTTATGATCATTTTAAGACCAAGCACTTTTCTTAGCGATATAAACTTTACACTTGTTGGATAAAATTTTCAAGTTTACTGCCACCACTTCTCTGTCTCTTGCCAGTATTGTTGATAGGTTATAAGAAAATTTCTCACTCTTCGACAAGTTAATGTCTTATTCACTTGCTTCGTCGATGACAAATTTGATCCTTCCAGTAACACACTTTACTATAAAATTCTTACCATTCTGCACGCTTTTTGATAAATATTAGATCAGTTTTCTGTAAGTGAATTAAATTACACAAAAGATTTTCACCCATTTGCATATACGACCTGTTAACATATTACTGTTGTAAATACATATTATATATTTAACTTTAATATTATTAAATTAATAGATACATTACGGAATTTATATTGCTGTGCCATCATAATTACTGCTTAGCCAAAATGCCGTTAAAGTTGATTAATCGATGATTCGGCAGCATTTATCGATCACAATAACAATAAATTTTTTTTTTTGATTATTAAAATTAATCGCGGTTCCGGTAAACGGTTAACGGTTCCAATCTCCACTCGGTGGATGGTGATGGTATTGTGAAAGAAGCATATATCGACGGATACATTAAAGGATCAAACGATACGCTAAGAACAATTTTGAATAGGAGATAAGATTTATTTATTTAAATAAAACTTTCAAATTATTGCCTTTTTAAATTAGATCAGTATCCATTTTAAGCGAAAAAGTAGAAGCGTTTTATATTTATTAAAAAAAATATCAAGAAATCAACGCTCTTGTCCTTGCCTTGCTGTGCCGCATTGTGCCGTGCTGTGCTCATGATCTTGACCCACCGCTTCGTTTTACTTCTCTCTGGGTGGGTATCGTATTTATAAGAAAATCAATTTTCTAACGAGGCGCAGATGGGAGTTTTTTTTATACAATATACTACTATATTTTCTATCATAGAATAAATTGATTTCTTTATTATGTAATAAACAAATAATGTGAATAACATTTACCTCTCAATTTTTTTTTGTCTTTCATTTCACAAATTACATAAAAAAAAAACACTTGATAATATATTTCATTATTATGACAATAGTTTTATTGTTAATGATTGGTGACCAAGAGGCCATTTATTAAATGTCTTCTGATTAAAATCATCAGTTCAATTGGCGTTGCAATAGATTAAGGGCAATAAGGCAATAGCTTAATTGTCTTGACCAAAAAGCCATTATTCAGGGTCTTCTAATCAAAATCATCAGTTTAATTATTCACCTGAATAAATCAAACCACGATGGATTAATTAGATGAGAAAAAAGCGCAGAACTTCCATATCATAAAATTTGACTATAACTACTTGATATCATCAAAGGCCGCTCTGAATGAATACAAAAGATTAAACGCGATACATGCTAGAGGGTTCCAAAATTTACAATAAATCTTTAAATCTTGTAGTCAAATCTGATCACAAACTATTTAAAAAATTAAAACCTTTATTATTTTTGATCAATTTCTACTACTCGTAACCGTAGTTCACAGCGAACGCACTTTGTACGATGCAAATATTGTTCTATTACACAGAATACATAAATTCTATTAATAAATAAAGTAAAATTTCTCTTTTTGAAATTTTAATCTAAAATTTAAAATTAAGGAAAACATTAAATACACAGCCTATAACATCAGGTGGTTTAGATTTATCGGTAAACCATCTGGCACCGAAACCTTCTCTACTACATTAACTGAGGTTCCAGTTGGAATTTGCGTAACAAAGACCTGATTTAAAACTGCAGGAAGCACAACAGTAATATCAATATATTTAATATAAAGTAAGTAATCTGGGGTAATGGGTTTCGTTAGTGTTCCAGTAATATTAAAAGTATTAGAGACGAAAGAATCAGATAAAACTGATACAGAGAGTGGGGAAGTTCTAGAGGGGGAAGAACATGCTTGAAAACCAGGACGATATGGAAAAGCATTAACTATAGAAAGCATGACCAATAAAACGAATACAAAAATTTCGATTCATCATTTTTTTTGTGAATATGATATTTTGGTTCGAGTAGAATATTTGTTTGTTTTTTTTGCAATTATCGATGAGAGTGAATCGAGATCACTGCCCAGTCCTTAAAATAGATCTCTGTCTTTTTTTTAAAAAAAAAGGG